ACTAATAACCATCTTTCATTTCAATCTGTACCACATACAACATATTGGTAACTACCTATAACATATTGACAACTGAATCTTAAGCTATTAATGACATATCTTATCATTTCATAACATATTTATCAATTCAACCAAGTAACACTAAACTTTTGAGTACACCATTACAAATGCAAGGCTAGTGACCACATATAACAATATAACTAATAAAGAGTAAAAGAGAGACCACCCATAATTGATATATGCATAGCATAAAGAGAGAAAGAGAGATGACGTTATTCTATTAACAAATTAAACAATAAAAGACCAAATTAAATAATTAAAAGGGAATACATGCAAACCAATATCATCATTTACCTAATTCAACATGGTCACAATAACATTAAACTAAAGGTCAAAGTTGGGCTTTCTTCTATGATGAAACCATATAGTCACAGACATTGAACAAACTTACAACTTTTTTGGATTAATGTTTGTAGAAATTCATTTTGTATAACTTACAATTTGCAAACTAAAGTTAGATTAAAAGTCAGTTATCATAATGTGATTTATATTTGTATACTCTTTTGTAAAATGTCGATTTGACAAACTGAAACTTAATTAGATAATATATGATTAAAAAAATTAAATATATAATAATAAAATAGGACATAGGTTGGTAAAAAAGCTAAAAAGGACATAAGCTCTCTCTCTCTCTCTCTCACTAATATATATATATATATATAAGTATGCAATTTGATAAACTCAAGGAAAAAATATTAAAATTATACTTCTAAAAATAAAAGAGTTAATGTATTAATATAGAAAATATTTTTAAATAACTAAAACCTTAATTAATTAGATTTATTTAAAGAATACATATATAGAGTACAAATAATAAAAATATTGAAATTATAAATAAGAAAATATTATATTTCAAAAGGAAATATGTCAAAGGATAAATACTCTATTCAATAAATTTAACATGCATTAAATGCTACTAACAGTTAGATTTCAATGTAATTAATCTAGAAACTTCAAAGTCTAGCTTTTGGCTTTATCTATAGTTGGGAAAGAAAAGCTCATTTGCTAATTATTCTTACCCAAGCATATTTACTTGCCTCTAACTAGCTTTTAAGACTACAAACTATAGTTTAAGCCAACTAAATTCAAATCCCAAACAAGCAGTTAGCTATAAAATGATCCTACCAGCTCACTTTTCTAAAGACAATCGCAAGAGCTCAGCTGGTTACCTCCATCACATGCAAATACCTTTCTCTTTCCTTCATTCTTTTTTTTTCTTGACTTAGTCAAGGCAAATAGGTGATTTTTCTTGCAAAATTATTCACACCTAAGGTGTAATGTCTACATTGATATTGCCATGAATTTTACTATGGGTTATAACACATAATGGTAATTAGGAGTCGTCAATCCCTAAATTTACCTTAGACATAGAAAATAAAGCTTTTGAACATGTTTGGGACCCTAAAAACTCTTCAAAACATTTTTAGACTCAAAATAATAAGTTTGTATGCACAACATAAGCAAGGAAGGATGTAAAAATTAAGTTAATCTGAGCTCACCTTCCATTGTAGAACTGCGCAGCCAAAGGCATTATTGTATCCTATTTTTAAACTATAGACTCCCCTTATTACGCATATAATTGGGGGTGTTGTTTACTCTAATACCATACTCTTTTGGTTAATAAGGAGCAATATTCATATTATGACTACTTGAATGTCCCATGAGAATAATCCATAACATTTTCACTACATCAAATGTTCCATGGTGCTAGCTCGACCATATAGACTTCAACATTACTCCACCTATGGTGAACTCTCACCCTTGCTATCATGATTAAATTTTAACACACAATGCATTTAACACACTTTGTCATATTCACATTTCTTCATTATTTAGTTTGAATTATAAATAGAATTAATTAAATATATAATATTTTCTAAAAAATCTTCTTCTTGTCCTCACTTTTCAAGTTCTAAATCACACAACATGTAATATCATATTTAATATAACTTGTAAACAGCCAAACAAGATAATAAAAAATATGAATTATCTAGTTAACTCAACCTTTTAGATATAAGGGTTACTTATGGTATCTATCGCTCTTTGTACTTTCACCTACTAAATAAACACTTGAGATATGTCAATTTACAAGATTAAGCACTGTATGTTAGTTTTCCTAATTAACATAAGTACTTGATAATACAAATAGACTAACTTAAATTTCTAACTTCTATCATTAGACAATTTTAAGTCCAAACTGACCTTTATAAGCTTTATACAACTTCTACTACTAATCTAATTAGGACCCATATAAGATTCTCATAACTTTAAACCTTTCATTTGAGGCTATAATTCAACCAAAGCCCCAAAAAACAATCAACAACCACTAATCCAGATACAAACCCTTAATATAACTTCAGCGGTGACATTCAAAGTCGCCAGTGGAAGTTTAATTTTATTTAATATTTTAAAACATTAATTTTATTGTATTATTGTAATTTTATAATGAATATATAAAATAACATAATGATTTTTATTTTATATATTTTATGGTTAAATTCTAACTTTAAAATAATAAAATTATTTTAAGATAAGGTTAAGGTATTATTTAATACTAATGAGCTTGAGTAAAGAATTAAGCCAAACTATATTATTTTACGTCAATTTTTATTATTAAGTAATGTTTGGTTTGATTTAGTCTAACTATTTAGGCTAGTTTGATTAATTGACTTTAGTCAATTAATACCAAATCTAACTTAATTAACTAATATATACCCCTATGTGAAGTGATAAATTAATTCTAAAATCTAAGGTTTGATATTTTAATTTAGAATGCATATAATGTGGTGATAAGTCTCTATTTTCAAATGTTTTATAACTAAATTGATATTTTAAATAATAACACTACTTATTTATAATAATTAGACATGTGATAGTTAAAACTTTATAATTAATTATTTTTATAATTAAATTGATATTTTAAATTTATTCATTCATAAAATGATATTTTATCTAATCTAATTTTTTAATTTAAATTCTATATTTAATATCAGTAACTTTAAAACTTCATGCTGGTTTAAATGTTCTCAATTTAATGGCTAATGATAGGAAATAGGAAATAAAAAAAAGAAAAGAAGAAAAATAAGATATTTTAAAATTCTACTTTTAACTTTTACAATATATGAAATATATCTACGTATGTGATGCTGTATGATTTTTTTTTATTTGGTGCTATCTTGTGACATAAATATAAAAGAAAAGATAATATAGTGTATAATTTTCTTATAAAATTTTAACTTAAAAATGAAAACTAATTAAAAAGGAAAAATTTAATGTAAAAACAAGCCAATTACATTAATTAAGAGTTATTGTTAATTAAAAGTAAAAATAAAAATTTTAAATAAAACAAGCTAGAAAAATAAATAATTATAAACTAATGTATAATCATCTATATTTTTACTATTTATTATTATAATTTTTTATATTATAATTATAAATATGAGTATCAAAATAGATAATATAATAACCTCAAGAAGTAAAAAAATTAAAATAAATAATACAAATGATATTGTATCAACTATATTTGTAGTTTACTTTAGTCAAAATAAATAATATAATTTTCAATTTTAATAAATTAAAAGAATTAAATTAAAATATTTAATGATAGTAATGATATTTTATAACATTTAATATTTAAGATATATGTGTTTGCTAGTTTAATAATACATATATATATATATATTATTAAGCAATAATAAACTATAGGTTCATTACAACACGGTGGTAAAATGGTGGGATACAAAAGGAGGAGGTCATGGGTTCAAACTTTGAAGGAAGTGTGAAATAAAAATATAAATTGATGACATGGTGCCATATGGTATGAGGTGGGCTACCACGTGGGGGGTGATGTGGCACCACATGGGTAAGTAAAACCAATATTATTTTTTAACGGTGACAAAAAAGTTGTTGCTGATTGGTAGTTTCTATAGCAACAATATTTAACATTGAGCGATGACCAAATAATTATCACTAATATTTGGTTTCTATGATGACATTTGTCGCCATTGATTCTTAACTTTTAACGATGACTTTTATTGTCATTGCAGATAGAATCAACGACAAGAGCTCTTGTAGTAATATTTTTTTATAAAATTTTAAAAATAAATAAATTCATTAACTCTAAAATTTTTGTAAATTTTTAATTTTGTCTCTATTAAATATCTATGCTTTAATAAAATATTTTTTTAAATAAGATTACCTCTAATAAGAGAATACATGTATGCAATAAAAAGTAAAAAAAAAAAAAATTCAAAATAGCACTTTGGCATAAAATATTTGAACAAAAAGGAATTAGGTCTAGTGGAAGGAGCTAATTCCTCATAATATGATAAACCAAGGTTAATTTAAATCTGTAATGGGAGAGGTTCACATTTAATACCTAAGCATACCTTGAATAGGATTGCCTCTAATAGGAGGAAATCTATGTAAGTTGCAATTTTTTTTTTGGGTCACGATGCAAGTTGCAATTTAATTGACTAATTAAATTAGGTTAGCTTGTCAAGTGCAACCAATATCCAAGTTCCATCAATATAAATGCATATTAATGTTCTTTACCAATCATAAACCGCAAAACCAATTAATCGATGAATTACATAAAATGCAAAGAAAAATATGTCTAGTTACTTCTATACTTTTACGAATAATCTTCTCTATAAAATATCAAACTCAACAAGGGAAAGGAAATTGATTAATCAATTCATATCACCTCAATTTTTTTTTTTTTTGGTTTCATAAATAGAAAGCTAATGAGTGAATGGGGTCCATCCATATAAAGAACATCAAATGAATGGAAAGCAACTGTTGCTGGTCTCTCTATCTGTGATATTTGATTTAATTATTGGAATTGACTTAATAATTTACATTGACTAACAAGAACAATCTTCGTCTAGGTTTTCTCACACGTCGGTATTTCCTTAGTTAAAGTCATTATATTTATGACCTTCTCGATCCCTCTTAGCATCCTGAGGGCTTTTACTTTTGCAGAAGCTTCGTTACAGTAATTTGATCACAACAAAAAAGGATCAATAAGCAATCTCGCTCTACAAGCAAAGAACATGTAAAGCGATTCCACATGGTAAAATAACTGTCTTCTTTCTCTATCCTTTATTGACAAGTACTTCGTCTTCCACTATAAACGGTGTCTGTATTGCTTATGTGTTTACACGCTAATTTCTTTTAATATATCTCAGTTATATGTTTCCACAGTTCATCCTACATTTTCCTCTTCGAATTAATATGATTCATATCATTTAAATGTCATTAAATTAATGCAATTCAATAAAAATTATTTTTCTATTATCATTTCACAGGAACAGGATACTAACCGCTTGATTCTAGAAGCTGGTTCGGTAATATGCCTATGAGATGAAATTTTCTTGTTTCAGTCGAAATTGTAGGTATGGAGGATTGCTATTATTACATAGAATTCACTGATTTTTTGTCATATTATTTAGGTTTCTTTAACCTGAAGAGATAAAATTTTTATCATAAAATAATCGATGATTTTTTTTATAATTCAATCTTTATATGTTATAGGCTTGGCTGGTCTTCTGCAGTATGTTGGAGGAATTTACTTCCTCCCCCATTTTTTTCATTTCATCTTTATATCTCACGCTTGAAATATTGAGTTAGCTTCTTTATTTTTTGGTCTTCTAGTCCTTCATCAAGTTGTTTGCTGTTTTCATTCTTTCTCTTATTAGGATTGATTAGGATATATATCTATATCTGTAAGTAAAACAGGTACTGCAAAATTGCTTCTCAATCTTTTGAAAAGTCTCCAGTACGTACTCTGGTAATCTTCTTCTTGTTTTTTTCTTTCCTTTTCATTCTTCTTTAATTTTTTGGATTTTTTTCTTAGTTTCTAGGCTTCTTCATCTTCAATCTTCGCTAGTCTTCCTCTGGCTTTCTTTTCTCCTTTTCCGTTCCTTCTTTTTTATTTCCTTCAACTAACCTAATCAACCCATTAGGTTATACCCAGGTTTTATCAAGTTGCTACTGCGTTAATTGGTTCACTTCGATTCAATAAAAAGACCGGGTTAAATGATATTTTGAACCACTCACACAGTTCGTTTGTGAGTTTATCATTGGTCAGTTCGGTCCAATTTTACAAATCATGATAAACACATGAAAATAGTATGTAATTTTAAATGACATTAACCAATTTATTGGAGGTATAAATTAATTAAAAATATCTTATAATATTAAATAAAGAGAGTATAGAGAGCTCTTTTTATTTTTAAAATCTATATGAACTCCCTTAAAATTTAAAGTCACACGGCACACATCACAATTCTATTTTTAAGATTCCGTTTCCTTACAACTAACTATAATTAACCTTTAATATGACCAAAATACTCTTGTTTAACATAAATGTTGTTAAAAAATTATTTAGGTCACCAAAAATAATTTTAATGCATATGTTTTTATTTTGTATCATATTTTATATTTTTAGTGATGTAAACTTATTTATATAGTAATTTCTTAAATCGTAAATACATAATTTAGTTAAAATAAGGGAAAAAATTACATATAAGTTCCAGATAAAGAACTCAATTAATTTTCTTTGTAAAAAGATTCAAATGCCGTTGTACTCATCCTCTTTGACTAATGTTGACCGATCGCCCACGAACATTGGTTCGTCACTAGCTAACGTTGACTGATGGCTTGTGACCATTGATGGTCAACGGACAAAGTTGATAGCAAAACTATTTTTTGAAAATATTTATAAAAACATTTATATTTTAACGTTTACATGTCATACATTTACTGATTTACAGCTAAATCATCAATATTAACAACTGAAACTTTTTATATTTACAAGTCAACATCTTACAAGGTTAATAATTAAATATATATACATGTCAAGTTTAATTATATTTACACGCAAAACATGTTGACTTGTAAATCTTAAAGATTTTCATATAAACATGTGATATTTAACTTGTAAATATCAAAATATTAGTATTTTAATAAAAATTATATTTTCAAAAAAACATTTTTAACATAATTTTAATTAATAAAATTAAGTATTTTATAATCTCTAAGAGAATAATATTTTAATGGTGAGAAAACTGTAACTAAATATAAGTTTTGGAAAATAAAGGGATATATCTTCAATTTGACTATAATTTAAGAGAGGTATTTGTAATCTGCTCAAAAAGAAAAAAAGATTAAGTGCTTTTATTTATTTTTTTCAAACATTCATAGGAAACTCACATCCTGCTACTCAATCAATGCAATTGTACAAATAATGTCTAGTCAACTTGTGACGCGACGTATTAATGAATGCGTAAGATTTTTACAGATAAATGGATGCTTCAAGCTGTGCGCCAGTGAGTCTTCCTGAAGGACCTAATCACACCAATTTACGGAGGGTCCAATCAACTTTTTTTAAGGCACCTTCCCTTTACCTTTTGGAAGAGACAAGTAACTGCTCTCTTGATTATCTCTCAAAAAATCAAATATAAAACTAATGTTTAGTTATTTTGTTATTCCTCATAATTTTACTTAACTTTTGATTCAATTTTATAGTTCAATAACTTAATTACTTTCCCATGATTAAAAAAAAATTAACTTAATACGTGTCATCAATTAACCGTTAATCTTATGATAAATTTTAAATCATGTTCTTCTTACATTTATGCATTCCTATTAACTTCAAAGTTCAACAGACTTCTCATATTTTCACTCATATTTTTTTCTATTTATGTTTCAAATATAGATTTTCTTATCTCTTTGTATTGTCTGGGTAATATTTTTGTGACTTAGATATTTCATAAAAATAACGTAATAAACACATATTTGTTTATAAATTAGAACTAGATGATTATGTGTTTCCCGAAGCGTTATTATTTGTCCACATGTTGTATTTTCATTGGAGATTCGAGTGATTGATATTTAAGAAACCTTGCCTATAAATAAATATCATAAAAAAAAAATTAGTATGAGAATTTCACAAATTGATATGCAAGATGGAATGAAAATTAGTTTAAATCACTTTTGTTTCAGAGGAGGCTAGAATTAACTTCCTGAGATTATGTGTGCCTCTATACAAATATGCATTGGAAGGCAATTGGGAAAAGGCTAAGCCCATGTTGATGCAAGATACAAAGCTTCTGAATGCTGCTATAGCAAAGGAATGGCCAACAGTACTTCATGTAGCAGCAGGAGCAGGACATTTTCACTTTGTGAAGGAGCTTGTGAACCTGATGAATGAGAGTGACTTGGATTTGGATTTACAAGACTACAAGGGAAACACTGCCTTCTGCTTTGCTGCTGCAGCAGGAAACATGGAGATTGTTGAGTTAATGCTGCAAAAAAATCCATCTTTGCCTAAAATTAGAGGTAGAAATGGTTTCACGGCTCTTCTTTTTGCTGCTTTACAAGGAAGAGCTGATACGGTACGATACCTATACTCTATGACTACTGAAATTTTTGATGAAGCAGACTGGAATAAGTTGTTCCTCACTTGCATTGACTCTGGTATTTATGGTAAGTATATGTTACCTATAAATAACAAATACATTTGTTATGATTGAAGTATAGATGAAGCATGATTTAGGATTTGAAACAAAATTAAATGGAAAAGAACATTTTTAATTAGTGAAGTATTTGAGCTTTATATATAAAACTCTGTTACTTCTTAAACTGCGTTACAAAATATGTTTTTAATTAACATTTTCATTTCTAGACTACTTTAAATTTCACAGATTTAGCATTGGAAATGCTGAGAGAAAGGCCTAAACTTGCAATGGCAACAGATGAGGATGGAATGACAGGTTTGCATATCTTGGCTCAGAAGGAGATAGATTTGGAAAGTCATAGCGCAGAACATCAAAGTGAACTTCCAAGTTTAGGTAATTACTCCTTCCAATTCTATTTATAAAACACTTTTGACTAAATCATATGGATTAAAAAATGGTTAAAATTAGTTAGGAGTCCTATTTTTTTTTTTTTTAAAAAAAACATTTCTATAGAAATCCTAAATTAGCCTTAACTAAAATTATCAACTTCATCTTTAAATCTTAAAGTTAAACATGCCATCCAAATGAATTAATTGGATATGTGAGCACTTTTGGGATAAACTCATTAATGCTTCGTCAGGCTTTACAAGTTATTTTATATTAAGAACCAAGCAAAGGTGTCTTTTATTAAAGATTGGAGGGAGTTCTTCTTAGGAAGACCAATTTATTGGTTTTAACTTGCAATGTATCAACATGTTTTTTTAATATCCAAAATGTATAATATGACTAAAATCATAGACTCCCCCAATATGTTTCCTAACTTTAGCTTTGGCTTCCTCAATTCATCAAATTATATATCTTAGGTATAATGCATGGTGTTGCGCTTCAACTTGTTGATTCCATGTGGAGAGGAATTCTCAATCAAGTAGACTCAGATTTACATATGAGAGACATCATTAGTCAACCATCACAACTGTTATTTGATGCTGCAAAAGTTGGAAACTTTGACTTTTTAGATGAGCTTTTGAAGTCATTCCCAGATTTAATATGGGAGTTGGACGATAAGAATCGAAGTATAATTCATGTTGCTGTTTTATATCGTCATGCTAACGTCTTCAATCTCATTCATGAAGTAAGTGCAAACAAGGATACCATATTGTCATACAGAGACACAGATGACAGAAATAATATATTACATTTGGCGGCAAAATTGGCACCAACCAATCGACTTCAGTTGGTCTCCGGAGCTGCTTTTCAGATGAAGCTTGAATTATTATGGTTTGAGGTATTTCTTCCTTAGCGTCTATGAAATGGCAAATATGATCTAATGGCTATATAACACACACACACACACATAAATAAATTAATTATATTCATGAACAAAACCATTTGATATGGCAGGAGGTAAAGAAGATGATGTCACCATCATTTGTAAAGATGAAAAATATAAAAGGTGAAACTCCTTCTGAGTTATTCACTAAGGAGCACTCCGAATTACAAAAAGATGCCGAGTCATGGATGAAGAGAACAACTAAGTCATGTATGGTTGTTTCAACTCTGATTGCAACTGGAGTGTTTTCTGCCGGATTTAGCATACCTGGTGGCACCAACGATGATACAAGAGTTCCAAATTATTTGGGAGAACGATCATTCATGATATTTGCAATATCAGATGCTATTGCATTGATCTCATCTTCATCCTCCATACTTGTTTTCTTGTCTATTCTTATCTCACGTTATGCAGAGTATGACTTTTACAAGTCCCTGCCCTCTAAGCTGATATTTGGATTGGTAATGCTCTTCGTCTCCATAACAAGCATGATGATAGCATTCAGTAGTGCTTTCTTCGTGACATATGGCCATGGGTTAAAGTGGGTTCCTAGCTTCATTTCTATGCTTTCCATTTTGCCGATTGTCATTTTTTTAATTCTAAAATTTAAACTTTTTTATGATACCATTTACTCAACATTTTACTTAAGATCTTTGTTCTGGCCAAGCAAACATGTGCTTTACTAGCTAGAACATAGAGAACGTCTAATCAAGAGCTGATGTATATGTGTATATCTTACGTCAATTTGCAATTAATATAAATAATATTTTGGTTTTTCATTTGGCAATGGATAAAAAGTGCATCCTTTGTGACAAACAACTTGATAAAATTAAGGACAGATGCTTGAAAAATTGACTAAGAACTATAATTTGCTCAATGACAAGGCTAAATAGTAACAGCAATGAGCTCTACCAATTAACTTTTGATACATAAAAGCATATTTAGCTAATTAACTAATAAAATAAAATATATATATATATATATATAACGACTAATTTACAAAAGTAGCACGGGTAAACATGATAACGTATTATCACAATTTTAATGTGATTTGTCCTTGATATATTCAGTCATTTTGAGATATTATTTTGTTAATTCGTATTGCTAAGCAAAGGGAGTTTTCAATTCAATCATTAAGCTTGCTTTCGACATGTTCACAAGCAATAGTACCAATAAAGCCATTTTTTTTTTTTGCTAGAAAACTTAATTATCATTCAAAAAGAAACAGCATGTATTCACGGTACTAGCATTACACCAAAAAGAAATAAGAACAAAGCAAAAGATAAATGTGAACAAAAAATGTAAGTGTGAAACAGAAGCAAGAACTCTCAAGCCAAATTCCTAGATAAGTAAGGGACTTGATACCTAAGATGAGCTAGAGAGATGGTGACTTTTGATTGAGCCCAATATGAAGAGCACATCTCGTTCGTTATAGCCAGAGCAAGACAGTCTACAGCCTGGTATTTAGTTCTTGGGATCCCTTGAAAGCAGTACCTATGTACTTAGTAGGTGACCAAGATTCAAAAAAAAAAAAAAAAAAAACCACTATGATTGAACATTCCTGCACACAAACAGCAATACCAGATTCAACCAAAGGGAGAAACCGGATAATGGGAACTCTCCTTGAGCGTAATGAGCATAACTTTTGTCTCACAACCTAATGAAAAGTCAAACATAGATACATAATCACCAGCAACTTGCAAGCAGACTCCTTTCTTCTAACTGCAATACTAGTACCTCTGTTCCTAAAATTATAAGCATTGTTTGCAAACACAAAAATATCATAGACATCCAATAGTACCTGTAAAGGCTAAAGCCCAAAACAAGTCTAAGACCATGAAGAACCAGTCCAACATTATTAAGAAGGCACAAACAATGTTATAACATCTTAGCTTATCCACTCTTATAAGTCTTAGATTTATTGTATTTTATTATTTTTCCTTGCATATGCATGGCTTCTTTTCCCATATTCTAGTGTTGCGTGTCTCCCTATATAAACCCTTGCAATATTCTTGGTTGATTGTACCACATATAATATTCATTCATATACTACAAATCTTTTCTTGGTATCAGAGAATTTGGCTTGCAACCATGGAACTTTCTTCTTCTGTGTTTTGTAATGTAAAGTATTATTTATATATATTATGTGTAAGAAAGTATGTGAAATGATAAATGAAACCTTAAATGGTTTGAAAAAGCATGATCATAGGGGTGGGAGTTTACCCGAGTGTAGAAGATGATAAAGATCATATGGTAAGGTTTTCTTAGTACTTATTAGGGTGTGGTGTTGGAAACAATTCTCCTTAGTGCCTTGAAAGGTGCAGTGTTAGAGAAGATCTCTTTAAAGCCTATTGAGGTACGGAATTAGAGATGAGAGACTCTTTAGTGTCTTTGTGATACGGTGTTGGAGTCAACGATACCCTATTATATGTATTGGGGGAAACCATAGTCCATATTATGCGTTAAAACATCTTTGGCTAGGTGATTCTACCACTATAGGTGAGCTCAAGACTAATGAGAGTGTACATTAGTTTAAGATGAGCCTATAGTTTCGTGTCAAGGTGATTTGGAGGTTTAGTTGGTAGAGATCACGATAGCATGTTATGTGATATGATGAAATATGTTAAGATAACATGGAATCCTATGTGATTGAGGAAAAGTTGAGAAATGAAATGAGATATGTGATATAAATGCTATTTTATGAGGTTTTTAATAATATACTATGTTTACTTCCATATTGTCACATGTGATAGTCAATAGGAGTGAGTTATTCTGTTACTGAGATTTTTATCTCACCCCTATGGTTACATGTTTATAGGATTAGGAAGTGACTAGGGTAAGGGAAGAGAGTCTAGTTTGGCTTGAGTTATGAAGCCATGTACTTTGAGTTTGTGTAATGAACAGAACTGAGGTTGTATGTATGTGTATAAATGAGTTTTCATAGGGTTGCATGCATGATTTGAAAAGAGATTTTGTGAAATCAAGCCCAATTATGTGTATATGTGTTTTTTGAAATAAAGGGGCTATGATTTGAGTATATTGTGTTGAAATGATTTTGTGTTAGTGGATCTTAAGCCAAGAGATAAATTATAACGAAATGAGTAATTTGGGGGCTAAGATTGTATTGTGAATATGATTGTATACGAATAGGTTGAGAAGTAGCCAAGTGGGCTAGTTATGCCAAGAAATGGCAAAGTGTGTAAGTTAGTAAAATGGTGGAAATTGGCTATAGAAGGGTCAAATTTTGATATATGAGTATGATTATAATTAATTATGGTCAATCAGGTGTATTAGATCCTTTTAGACTTGGTTCAAAACCTAATGTGGTCTAATGAGAGTAAGGGATCAATTTGAGTGCTTGAGTGTGTAAATTTTTTAGAAAAAGTGACTTTTGCACCCTAATGTCTAAATTTTAATTAGACTGTTAGATCATGTCCAAACATATCTCATTAGTTAGTATACGAGCTAAGCTCTGTGTAGGCACTTGAATTACTCCAATCGAATATCGTATGTGAAAACAGCACATGTAAGAAGTTTGTCATTTTTGCTATCAAAATGATAGCAGAAATTTAGACAGGCGTACCACAGCGCATGGTGACACATGCTGTGGTATATGACACAGAAAGGGTAAGCATGTGGCTCTGTGTCACATGCCAAGGTGCATAGATTGCAAGTTACAACACACATACTGATAAGGACACGGAAGCAAAATTGTGCTAGTTTAGGGACAGAACCCTGAAACAACAAAAACACAAGAATAAAAAGAAAGGGACGAAATTTATGACAAAAATAAAGAAAGGTATGAAGTAAACAATAGGATAATGATCAAGGAGAAGATCCTCTAGAGCACCTGCCTCTAGGAACCTCAACCTTTGAAGACACCACAAGAGTTTATCACGCTCTTGATCACATCTGTTTCTCACACGGGATATCACCACAAAGCACTAAGGCTCACAAGAGTTATAAACTCTAAAATGAATAATTTCATTCAACTTCTGTGTTGTTTACAATAGGGAGCATGCCTAATTTATATAGGTGATAGAACACATTTGTTACCCACTTTTATTTGTTAATTAGGACCATTTTATTAATGATTTATCACCTTCAAGTGCACACATTGCATTAGATTTGGAACTTTGCCTAAGTTTCTAAGATCAGTGCACTAGGGGCATTTTGGTCCAAAAAATGAACTTTTGAGAAAATGTACAAGAAAAATTGACAAAGTTCATTTTATGTCCAGTTGATGAATGGTGAAATTATATTTTTAAAATTCATTTTAGTTTGGGAGTAATTAAATAAAAAAGTCAACACTTTCTTAAGAGTCTTAGTTTGTCCTAGTTTTTAGTTTGCCTTTGTGTGAAAATTTTTATATAATTTTGTGCAGCCTGAAACTTGGTTAATTTAATAAATTCTCCCTTCTAATTATGAATTTAATTCTGGACATGAATTAGATTTTATTATATCATATGCTATTTAATTGAATTATGTGATTTATGTGACATAGGTGGCATGTGACTTGTGCATCAATTGGGCAATTGAGGTCAACACTCCTTGAGGACAATGGCTGATGGTTTGCACGTGAATTATGATTATTTTGAGGGATTAGATCAGCTAAAATGATGTGGATGACACATGGGAAATTAGGCACACATTGGAATCATCTACAAACCAATAGGAAGTTGCCACCTTGCAAGTGTGACAAGGCTCCCATTTACATTTTAATTTCTTTTTCCTTATTTTAATTAAGCTTCAGCTGATGGGAGACACCAAGGAGCACGCCATTTTAAGTCCCAAATGGAATCCAACACATATCTCATTCATCTTCCACATTCTCTCTCTCTTGTTCATAGTGTTCTTCATTTTCTCTCTTTTGTTCTTCATTTTCCAGCATCCTAACCTCCATTTTCAGCCACCAAACCTCCACAAAACTCATACCATTCTTCTCCTCTCTTCATTTTCGTTCCATCCCTTCCATTTTCACAAGGATTGAAGCTCATTTCCATCATTCAAGAGCTATGGAGTTTGGCCTTCACAAGCAATAACTAGGGTTCTTGAAGATGAAGATTGGCTAAGTTTCTTTGTGGAATCCTAGAGAGATGAAGATGGAGGATGAGTCTTGAGCTTCAAATTGGCTAAGTTCTTTTGTTTCCTATCCTCTTCTCTTTTTACTAGATGGTTAGATTCCTTAATCTAGGGTTTAATCATCTTAGCTTATAAATTCTAATTTGAATTTGATGTTGATGTAAAGAGAGAGGATTGTTTCATTTAATTTCTTCCTTGGACAGCCATGACTGAATTTTGCCACTCTTTGTTTGGCACACAATCTTGTGTTTTTCAATTAGTGAATTTCTTGTGTTAATATTGCATAATCTTGTGGTGTTAATGCTTGTGTTGTTAAGTAGCTTGACATAATCTTGTGGTTGCTCAATTTATGTATTTGACCATGGCTGTTGAGAGAGAATTTTAAATGAATCACTTGGCTAATGTCTTCACCAATTGGTTAATTGAACTAGGGACTTTAATCTAAGACCTAGGGAGGTTAGCTAATTAGGTTAATTGGCTTAGGATAATTTTCTTAAGTCATGACAGCTTTAGTCAAGAGGAAAGGGAAGCTAAACTTAGCCTAATCATGAGAAGATAATGAGTCCAAAATCAACTAATCTCTAGGGTTCCATTATTGTAAAAAGGGAAGTTCATTTCACTCACTTTCACTAGCATTTTAATTACTTGCATAT